GAAGAGGGGGCTGAAGGCTTCTGTAGGAGAGCAGCTCAGGCTCAGAAGAGGTGTGGAACTTATTCAAAGTCACACAGCTGGTAAGTGGTTGGGAACCAGATGAGAGAAAGTAATGCAGCCCTGGCGTACCAAAGTCAGAGTCCTGGCAGGAGAGACAAGGCACACTCCCGCTGGGTAATGTGGCAACTACTTAAAAGATGCTGGAGGGGAGAACACAGGAAGGGCATGTGCCTTGACGCTGGAAAGGGGAGCTGTCGTCACCACCCTAGGCCCGCAGAGGCCAGGCGGACAGCCATTCGAGAACCTGGTGACAGCAAGGCTGTGCGGGAGGACTTCCCAACAGGAGCTGTGCCTTGCAGGACAGGAAGCCACCAGCCTTTGATGACCCAGCGGAGAGGGAGCCTGGGGCATAAATGCCTGTTCTGCAGTCTCCCCACCACGCCCTGACCCTTGGCCGAGGGCAAGGGAAGCTGTGGGCCCAGAGCAGGGGGCCACAAGGGCCAGGGAGCCGGAATCAGCACACGACCTTGACTCCTCTGGACACCAGCCACCAAAGCAATCTGGGCACCAAACTTCTTTCATCCATAATACAAGAGCCATCATCCCTCTTCTGTGATGTGCAGTGGGCTCCTCTTAGACGGCCACGCGCCTGCGACGTCGCGAGGCGATGTGTCCAACTAAGCCCGGTGGGCACACGGTCCCCGAGGTGCAGCTGGAGCGCAGCCTGGGAAAGGGTTTCCTCTCGGCGGAGCCCTCAGGCCACGCGGTGTCAGATCCCGCGTCTGCCTGGCCAGCCGGAGCTGCGGGCCCGGGCAAAGGCCCGCTTCTGGCCCGCAGCTCCCCGCAAGGAGAGGGCGGGTCCGGGGCGCGCCGGGGACAGGTTCCCTCCTCTGGGCGCTGGGGCGCCGCGACCCTCTCCCCACCGCCGCAGCCGTCGGAGCGACCCCTTTGGGCGGGCGTCTGGGCGCAGTGGGGCACAGGGCGGAGCGAGCCTGCAGTCCCCAACCCGGGGCCCGCCTCGCTGCGGAGTCGGCGGGGCGGGGGGCGGGCACGGGTTTCGATGACGGGAGCTGGGCTCCGGGCCATCAGCTCAGGCAGCCCAGGAAGTGCGACCCTTGCGGCGGGCAGCTGGGGGGCCGGCGCCCGGGGGAGCTGGAGGGTCGGTGGGCGGAGCGGCGGGGGCTCGAGCCCAGAACCAGAGAACCTTCAGGCAGAAGAGATCGTGGGCATCAAGCATCCTACTCTACAGGCGGGGAATTTTAGGGCCAGAGAGTGACCCGACGGGGGTCGTGGGCAGCAGGACCTGGGGGAGGAGGGACAGGAGGTGGCCCCTGAGGCGGCCTGTGCGTTTCTGAGGGAGAGGGGCTGCCTGCCACGTTAGCCCGACCGAGGCCCGAGGCGAGCACCCCATTAGGTAAGCGCAACAAACCAACCGAAAGAAAACATAAACCCTACAGTTGTGCTCAAATTCAATTCGCTCCTTTGCGGGTTTCTCGAGGGCAAAACTTCCGAATAAGTTTATCCAAGGGAACCCTTTCTCCGGGTCTGGGTGGCCGCGTTGTGCTGACGGCCAGGCTTGGGCGTGGGGTACCCCTGACTGCTGAGCCATGATTGCGGGCAGAGGCTCCAGCTGGGTTCACGGTCAGCCTCGCCACCAACTCCGCACAGGCTGGCCTCGGGTGGCGCCTACGCAGAACCTGCAGCGGCCCCCACGCATGGAGATTTCGGGGCGCGTCTCTGGGCTCCAGAGCGCAGCGAGCGGACCAGGCGAGTGGGCGGAAAGGTCAGAGCGCGGGGTCACTGTGCAGGTCCACTCCGCCCGCCCCGCCTCGCGTAACGGTCCACCGGGCGCTGCTCAGGGCCGGATCACCGTGCGCATCAGGCCGCGGAGCCCAGCTCTGCGCGCTGCCGATTGCTCGGCGGTCGGGGCCGAACGCGCTCGGGTGGCCTCGGCGGCGACTTGGCCCGGGGGGCGCTGGGCTCCGCGGAACTCTCCGGGCAATTTCCGATGCCCATGTCTTTGCTTCCTCTCTCTCCTTCCTTTCACCCCCTGAAAAAGAAGTCCTAAATATAGCCGGCGGACTCGCTCGCTCTTTTTTCTTTTACACTGGACTTTGCTAACCCGCAGGACAGGGACCATTTTTGTTAGGATTATCAAAAAAAACAAAAACAAAAAAATTTAAACCATGGCATTCACACCCAACCAGGCCTGAAGTTAGCCATGTGGGAGCTACAATTCGCTGAACACGCACAAATCATAAACCACTATTCCCCTCCCCCCGCAAAGCCACAGAAGTCCACAAACTCTAAGCCGCCTCAGGGTAGGAGGGACTTCATTTCCCCCCGAAATAATGTGAATTTGAAGAAACCCTTCGGAGACACTAACATTTTCCCTGTCGTTTAAAAAAAAAAAGTCCGTCTAAGCTAACGCTCAGAAATATATTCTGTGTTAGAAGTTTAAAATAAACTTATAAGTTAATGTAATTAAAAAACTAACGGTAGGGCCTCCCTGGTGGCGCGGTGGTTGGGAGTCCGCCTGCCGATGCAGGGGGCACGGGTTCGTGCCCCGGTCCGGGAGGATCCCGCGTGCCGCGGAGCGGCTGGGCCCGTGAGCCGTGGCCGCTGAGCTTGCGCGTCCGGCAACGGGAAAGGCCACGACGGTGGGAGGCCCACAAAGCGCAAAAAAAAAAAAAAAAAAAAAACTAACGGTAAATAAATCACTTCCGAAGAAGGATCGGGAAAACACGACTGGAAAGGAAATTTCCCCGCGAATATAAAAGGAGGAGGAAATCCTCCTCCTAAATTATTTTCCCCTCAGCCATTCTATAAGAAGATGTCTTGGGCTTGAGAGTTACCAGGGGGTCGCGCAGAGCACAGCTGGGCGCGGGGGCCCGGTGGGGGGCCGCAGGGTCACCCGAACCCTCCCGGGTCGCCGCCCCCTCTCTCGATCAGAGACGCTCACGGCCTACGGGCTTCCTCTGTGTGCTCCCGACGTAGGGGAACCGGGCCCGGGGCGGGACTGCGGGACTCGGGACACTACCTCGAGAGGGGACAGCGAGGGGACAGCGCAGCAGGGGGCCCGGGGCTTGGTGGTTCCGCCGCCCGCGCGGACCGGGAAGGTAGCGGGGGCAGCGCTCAGCCGGGGACCGCGCGGGGGTCGGGATCGGAAGGAACGTTCTGTCCCGGAACCGCGCGGGGCCAGGCGTTGGGAGGCCCGCTTGCCCCTCCGGGTCGCCGGCATCCAGAACTTCCTGAGTGCCACGGGGTGACTGGAGCACCCGAGCTTCCAACCGGAACGCGGGGCAAGAATGCAGCAGTGTGCGGTCCCCGCCCCGACTGGGAGGGTCACTTTGCGGAGGAAAACCCGGGAGACAGGCTTGGAGTGGACTTGAGGTGCAACTCGGGGATCGATTTGCTCCGAGTTGACGTTTGACTTAGAAAAAAAAATCGATGGTAAAAAAAAAAACAACAAAAAAAAAACCCACCACCTAATAATTCGTGAAACAGGTCAGCAAACCGAACCGTCTCCTAAATGAAGGCGAATGTTGGCTTTGATATTTATTCATGGGAAGGGAGAACATTTTCTTCACCTAACGTCCTCAACACCCTCATATCCGGACAAAACTTTCTACACGTGACTTTCACACTCACTTTTTGACCAGGAAAATTTCCCCCAGCCTTTAACTCCCTGTTAATTTCTCCCTTCTTTCTCGCGACTTTTCTTTCCTCAGCACTTTGGGAAGAGAGGGAAGAATTTTTCCTGAGGATGGTTTACACCGACCCCAGTTAACCGGCAGCTGGAGAGAGATCAACTCCTGGCAAAGAATAAGAAGGAAAGACTTAGGGCTTCCCTGGTGGCGCAGTGGTTGAGAGTCCGCCTGCCGATACAGGAGACACGGGTTCGTGCCCCGGTCCGGGAAGATCCCACATGCCGCGGAGCGGCTGGGCCCGTGAGCCATGGCCGCTGAGCCTGCGCGTCCGGATCCTGTGCCCCGCAACGGGAGAGGCCACAACAGTGAGAGGCCCGCGTACCGAAAAAAAAAAAAAAAAAAGTTTGACAGCGATTTCCACTTAAACTTCCTAAACCGGTGCCAGTCCCGGAAGGGCGGGCGTCTCCGGCCTGACTCTCGCTCCTCCATCGCCCTCCCTATTTCTAACACACGCACACACCACGATTCCCGCCCGCGAAACATCTGGATGGGGACTCGCGTCCGCACACAGGGACAACTGCAGCCCAGGCTGGCTCCTGGGGAGCAAGTGCGGAAGTGCGCGCGGGAGCCGGGGCGCAGCGCTAGGTCTCTCTTCAGCATCCTTCCTTCCAGCTGCTCCTGTCACCAGCCCCTGGCTCCGCCCCTCGGAGCCCGCCCCTTGTCTCAGCCAATAGCAACCCCCGACTGCTCTCCGCCGCTCCAAACCCTTTCCACACCCCCACGTTCCGTGAGCCGGTTGGCTGTCGAACCCTCAGCGGAGCGGCTGGATTTGCATGGTGCTCCGTGTTTCTGGTAGGTGGAGCGGCCCGTCACTCCCGGTGGCCGGGCCCGCCCACTCTGCCTGGGTCCCTGGCTCTCTTCCTGCGCAGTTCTACTTCGCAGCCTCCGCGGGGAAGCGCCGGGGCTGCAGTCAAGGCTCGGTTCGCAGGACCGCGGGAAGGCAGCCCCGGCGAGCGGCCGTGCAGCGCGCACCGTTTGGAGGGGCCCGGGCGCGGGAGTGAGGCGCTCTGCTGGCCCCGAGCGCGGCGTCGCAGCCCCCGACCAGCAGTTGCCGCCACCCGACATTCGTTCCAGTTGCGGCTCCTCCGGGCAGCATGTCAAAAGCCGCCGCCGCTACAGCTGCCGCCGCCACCTGGGGAAGAGCAGCAGCAGCAGCAGCGGCGGCCGCGGGCGCGCGGGGGCAATAAGCCGAACCACTCGGCGTCCAGGGTACTCTCTCCGCGCTCACGGCTCCGGCGGGACCCGCGCCATGTGCTGAGCCATGCCCCTCGCCGCGCCCGCGGGCAGCGCATGGGGCAGCGCCTGAGCGGCAGCCGATCCTGCCTCGATGTCCCCGGCCGGCTTCTGCCGCAGCCGCCGCCGCCCCCGCCACCGGTGAGAAGGAAGCTCGCGCTGCTCTTCGCCATGCTCTGCATCTGGCTCTACATGTTCCTGTACTCGTGCTCCGGCTCGTGCGCCGCCGCGCCCGGGCTGCTGCTGCTGGGCTCGGGGTCCCGCGCCGCCCACGCCCCGCCGGCCCTGGCCTCAGGTCGCGGCGGACCTCCCTCGAGGCTGCCGTTCCCGGCGGCGCCAGCCACCCAGTTGGCTCCTGGCGGGGAGACGGCCGAGGGCGCCGCGAGCCAGGAAGAGCAGAGTCCCGAGGCGCCGGACTCCCCCAGCCCCATCTCTAGCTTCTTCAGCGGGTCGGGCAGCAAGCAGCTGCCGCAGGCCATCATCATCGGCGTGAAGAAGGGCGGCACGCGGGCGCTGCTCGAGTTCCTGCGCGTGCACCCCGACGTGCGCGCCGTGGGCGCCGAGCCCCACTTCTTCGACCGCAGCTACGACAAGGGCCTCGCCTGGTACCGGTGAGTTTCCCCGGCAGGGCCAGGGCTGGGGCCTGGGGCGCCAGCCGCGATCCCGACGGTCAGAGGAGGGAGACGTGGCATGTGCTGGTGGAAGTGACAAGGGTACAGCTTCAGACCACCGGGGGCCGGGAGGGGCCGAACAACGACCGCTCGGTGCTGGCCCGCAGCGCGGTACGTACGGGGTGCGCTGGGCTCCGCTCTCGCCACAGTCCGGAGAAACTTCTCGAGGAGCTCTGGGGGCTCAGCGGACCACGGTGCCCAAAGATCAGTTGGGCGATCTCTCCTAAAAGAAGGAGGGCAGTGACTGCGACGGTGCTCAGGGGAGCGCGCGACCCTCTAACTGTGGCCGCGGCCCAGACGAATCCAGCCAGCGTCGCTCGCATTTTATTTTTCCTCTCGGATCCGGGACGGTCTACGCCCCGCCGGTCGCCGTCTCCGCCCCAGACCAACTTCTAGAGCAGCTTCTGCTGCCCAGATGGGGGTGGGGTGAGAGCAACGCCGTCCTGCGGAGGCCGCGGGGAGTCTGTTCACTTTCCGAAGGGGGTCAGACCGGCTCGCGGCCGGGCAGCCTGGGCTCCGGAGGGTGAGCCGGCGGGCGCGCGGCGCGTGGAGCGGTGCTGGTCCCTGTCGGGCAAAGGCGCGCACTGCAGCCGGCGGGAGGCGCGCGGCTTTGAAGGCTTAGCGGCGCCTGGGGCTCGGCCCTCCCGTTTCCGCCTCCCAGGCCGGGGTGCTGAGAGAACCAGGGCAGGGAGGCGTGTCTCCGCGGGCCCTTGACACTAAGGGGTGCAAAGGATATTCGGGGCCCATTGATTGAGAAATGCGGGTTGCCCAGAGGTCGGGGCTTCTGTAAAGTCGGTTCTCCGGTCGGGTTTGTGGGTTCGGTTCCAAAGGGACAGCGGCCCCTCGGGGTCATAATCACGACCCCTGCTCAAGGCTTTACGCAGTCTTTGGGGTGAGCTGTGGGGTCGCTCGAGTTTCCGGTGAGGCGCGGGTGGGCCCGCGGTCCAGACTCGGGCCTTGGGAAATCCCGTCGCCAACCAGGGGCCAGGCCACCGGCCCCCACCCCTTCTCCCCGGTCACCATCTCCGAGCCCCGCAAACGTGACTTCCTGTAGCCTCCGGCACCCCTCCAGGCCCAGTTAGCCTCCAAGAGGGTGGAGACTTCGGAAAACAAAAGGGGAGAGTCGAACCAAACCCCATTCCCTGCCCGCAGCCCCTCTTTGGGGACCGGGGGAGCTTGGAGGATAAAAGGGGGCTGACCGAGCGGATTAAAACCGCTCTCTTCCCAGCCTCGCCCTCCCCTTCCCTTTTGTCCTAATGTTTTTATTGTCAGGAGTTGTCCAAGTCTCGAGGTTTAGCCAGCTGTGACAGTCACCCTTCCCAGTGTCCCCGGGCCCTCGACACCGGTTGTTGCGAATGCGGGCTCTGGAGCCCGAGCCTGAGTCCACGTCCCGGCCCAGGCAGCTGGCTTGTCGCGCGGGCCTCACTGCTCTCACCTGTGCAATGGGCGGCCCGGTTCTCCGACGCGCGGGTCAGGTGCCTGCCTGGCTGGCAGATGGGGGCCTCTCTAATTGCCAGCTATTGTCATCGATCGTATTGTTGTCATTTCTGCCACCACCAATCCTCCTCCTCGGATGGCGGTGCCGGGGGCCGGGACGTCAGGCTGTAACTAGCGCCCGTCCAGGTAGAACCCACCGGAGGCCGGAGGCAGCCGGGGATTTTCTGAGATCAGACGTAGTGGGGGCCGGCCTGGGAGGAACTGGCAGGAAAAGAACTGAATCCTTAATGTCGGGCGGTTCTAGAAGCGCCTGGGTTGGGCAGTGGAAGTCACCACAGGCAGATTCGCGCAGTCTCTTAGGCGGCCGCCCTCCACCTGCCACGTTCCTTCTGATCGACTCAACAACGCAGAATAAAGAACGAAGTCGCCCTGGAAAGGCTGGCGGCGCGCCTGCAGCGGGGAGCGCAGCCCGGGAGCTTCGGGCGGGCGGGACCGGTGCCCGGGGCCGCTCGCATCGCGGCCCGCGGGGCGGCTGGGCTTGGGGGGCGCTGGGGCTTGGCCGGGCCGCGGGGAGCGGGAAGTGCATCCTCCTCCCGAGCTGCCTCCCTACCGTGGTGATCCGGACTGTCTGGGCCCGGAGGCCCAGGGCCCGCGGCGGTGACCCCGCGGAGCGCGCGGCTGGAGGAGCGAACTGCTGCTCCAGCCTCGCCGGGCGTGGCCGCAGGGTTAGTGGGTTTTTGTTTTTGTTTTTGTTTTAAGGAAAAAAGAATAAAAGAATCTTTTCAATGACATCTGCTTAATTACAACTTTTAAAATGATTTAGAATATTCTGGATGTCTGGGCAAATGTGTGGACTTAATTATTTTGAAGGCGGCCGTTTTAACTTGAAAAACAGACACACCCGAGAAGAAGCCTGACCCAGAAGGCTTTTCCTAAAATCCGGTGTCTAGGGAGCACCCTTCGCCCTCCTCCCCCTCCCCCCAGAGGTCAGTCTGCGGGGCCCAGCGCAGCTGCTCGCCAGAGGTGCGCTGCTCGGCTTCATCTGTGCAATCAGGCAGCAGATTGGAGAGGAGGATAAATAATAATTAGCCAGAGCTGCAGTTCAGAAACAAGTAGTTCAAGCAAGTCCTCAACGCTAGAAAGTAGGAGACAGGAGAGACATCTTGAAGGCGTTAAACTTCGGGCACGGATGGTCGAATCCGAGGGTCAGCGTCGTCGTCGGTTGGAGAATGAGATCTTGCCTATGTCTCTGAACGAGTGGTTAGTAAATTTCATCGACTGATACACAGCCCGGCTCCGGGCCTAACCGGTAACCCAGGGCCTGGGCGGATTTGCTTGAAGTCTCCCCAGTTGATTGTAGTTCCTTCCACGTGGCAGAACTAGACGCCATCAGCCCCAATGGGACGGATCGCGGTGGGATGGAGCCCATCGTGGTGGCCACGCGGAGCTGACCCGCCACTGGCCAGAGGGTGGGCGGTTTGCCGCTGCCTTCCCCCGCTGCAAAAATCAGACGGTCCATCCGCCCTAGAACCCGAGTTTGTTTTAGTCTGGGACGAAAACTCTTCCGGGTTTACTTTTCCAGTTCATCATCCAGCTCACTCTTGAATCAGGCCTCCCAAACTGAGCAGGTACTTATGAGGAGCCCACGGAGTGACTTGTGAGGACTTCCGTTTAAACTGGCCCTTACCTTCTGTTGCAGGGGGTGATGGTGTCTGAGAAACAGACAAACAGGTTCAGGAGAACCTCACACATACCAAGATGGAGAAACACCCACCCGGTACATTTAGGCATTCAACGTTGATTTAAACTCTGAATGGTCTAAAATTAAGTATATACATTCTTTAATAAGTTTCTCTTTTTGATTTGGCTTAAGTTTGGTAGATTTTCACAAATTTAATGACCTCAGTTGGAGATTTAAGTTAGCCAAATATTGTGTAATTACTATTTTTTTAATAGAAATATTCCTTAGACTTTACAGTGGCAGAAACTCCTTTCCCACCTTGACTCTCCTTTCCATTTTTGGTTGTACAAACTAAGCTGACACTTTGATGCTGTGGCCACATGAAAAAAAAGTGCTGTGTGTGTGTGTGTGTGTGTGTGTGTGTGTGTGTGTGGTTTAATCATCTTGGTAGCTAACACTTACTGAATGTTTTCCCTATGTGCCAGGCACTGTTTCAAGTTTTACAGGATTAGCAGACTTAATCCTCATTTACCATCCTGTGAAGTAGGTACTTTTACAGATGAAGAAGCAGAGGCCCAGAGAGGTTAAGCTACTGGCCCAGGATCTCACAGCTCGAAAGTGGCAAAGCTGATACACCAACCCAGGCAATCCTGCTCCAGAGGTCACTCTGGGCCATTCTCCCTCGCTTAAATGACAGAACGTGATGTTGGTCATATATGATGAATTCAAAACTGAGTTGTTGGGGTTTCTTTGTTTTTGTTTTTTGGGTTTTTTTGTTTTTGTTTTTTTTGAGTTTTCTATTGCACCTCCAGTGACCTCAGTGAAGGTTGCTCACTTTGTCATTTACTTTAAAAGAAGACCAGCTCCAGAACAGGATAGTGAGGGCATCCAAAGTTAGTTTATAACCAGAGTGAGGATAATTACATCACCATGGCAGTTTCCTTTCTCTGCCTGCACAGGACAGTGAGAATCAATGGAGTCATTAAAATGACAAAAATATCCTCAAGTATAAAGGCTGAGAAAACATGGCAAGGGTCCCCACCGAGAGTAAATTTATTCTCTTCTATTTGTCCTTTTTAAGGCTGGGAGACATGGGAGAATACAGGGTTAAATGAGATGTTCCAAAAGCTCTTGGAATGAATTTATTCATTTAAAAAAGTACAGTGCTTCAAGTCAAGACTGAAAACTTGTATTTATTAACCAGGAGACAATTACAAAAATGACAACTAACACTTGGATAGAGCTCTTTAGAATTAGAATCTAAAACCCAGTGACTTTAGAAATCTCTGTCTCAAAAGAGATCTTTCCC